TCATCTCTCTGATGTACTATTTATGTCATTATTTCTCGTACATTGTTTTTATATTATCCTTTATTTATTCGTATCTATTATTTACGTAATATCAAGAAATAATAATAATAATATTTCGCTACTTTTACCAAAGAACTTACGATAGTTACGTGCGTGGCAATATCTTGAATTCAATTTATTCAGTTCGCGCGAAGTGCATGTGCATAAGTGAGTGTTTTTTTAAGTCCTCTTACTATATGAAATAATTTGTTGTGAAATAATTTATATATCTATATTATATAGATATATAAATATATATCTCATATATTTATATAGATATATAAATATATATCTCATATATTTATATATATCTTATATATTTATATCTCATATATTTATATATATATATATATATATATATATATATATTTATATTTATAAATCGACTCAGGTTTTATAATTTCTAGAGAGTCCCTTGATTTTGTCTTGAATGAATATTAAGTTCTTGTCAAACGAAATCACGATATTTATTCAACTTAAAGGAAAACGATATTATTTCCGTAAATTCTGACATCTCCTACGACAATGTGCTTCTGCATAAGCTAATTAGAACAGTTCGTAGGCCCAGCCAACGTGTGAAGACGCAGCGTTAGCATGGATCACCGTGTCTAGGGCCCGCGATTGATCATCCGGAGGACCCCGCGCGAGGTAGATTAAGTCCCGGTTCGTCCTGCCGCGGGTAAAGAAATATGGAAACCTAATCGCGCTCTCTATTTCGCATGCACGTGTTGTTAATGCGAATTCCGAATCGGTGTGTCGTGGCGATCGCGTTAACCGGCGTGTCGGTTAACGACGCGACGTCCGGATCGTTGGCGCTCGTGACGCGATACCCGAGATCCTTGCCCGCGGTCACGTGATCCTAGGCTTCTTTTACGGTCCCCGCATTAACTATCGATTAAACATTACAGAGTAAATATTAGCTCGCCGCGCGGCACAATAAAAAGAACCGCATAACGCGCATCATAAACCTGCTCCGACGGGGATATGCAGCGAGAATTTACGATCGCCGTTTATTATTTGCTTTCGATCATTCCGGGGTTGTTCAACTTCGTTCAAACGTGGCACGGCTGTTAACAACAAAATCTCGTTTTTTGTTATTTCGGGTTCTCTTATTTTTTTCGACCTCCGACATAAGTCGCGATTGGGCTTACGTTTATTAATAATCTACGATTGTTCGTTGTGCCTCGATCTATTTTGTTATAAACAATCTCTAGGCTTCGATACTTATTAACGATGCGGTTGGTAAATTGTAATTAATAGTTGTAAAGCCAGAAATTGGAAAGAGGATTGCAGAAGGAGATTTTCTGCGGATCCTTGTGCAAAATAAAAATTGTCAAATGCTAATTGCTAGGAGTGTAAATAAAATGAAAATGTTCTTTCTATCTTAATAGTTGTAAAAAGTTGAGACCAATGTGAGAACATCCTTACATTCTTTTAATGTCTTTACATTTCTTTGTTCGATCTGTTCTTCTTCAATAATAATAATAATAACTTTATTTATCGACGACTTATGTTCTTTGTTACGGCAATAGAAAAAAAATAATAATGTAGTAATCATGCAAGGACGGATAAAGAGTATAAAAACTCGAAACTAGAATAAATACTTAAATATCAGGAAAAAAGGAAAAACATATGTCCTTTCTCATAAATGCATAAAACCCGTAGACTAGTAATTACTAACTAGTTGAAAATAATTTATTCTCGCATGCAAGTGCATAAAATTTGCAGTAAATAAAACAATCGTATTAGAACATACTTGCGTTGCCTTAATATTCGGAGCATACTTAAAGCTTTAAGCGCCATCATATTTGCAACCCGATACGAATCTGCGGTTTTTCTTGCTCGAGAACTATAAAACATGAAATATTAGTTTTGCCGATAAGTGCAACGCGCGAGGCCTTATCATTATTTTCTTGCGGCGTTCGCTTTTCTATCTAACAGCTCTCACTTACCTGTTCGTCGTTTATTGAATACATTCGCACACGATCAGCAACCGCAATCATCGATCTTCGTTGTCAGTGAAGCTCATCGATCGTGCAACTATGTCATCGGGCAACTCGAATGTGGTCGATTCTCTCGTTTATTCGTTCCCGGGACCGGGACTAACCGGAACGCCCTGCCACTCCCCGGTAGTTGTTGCTGAATGTTCATCGCCGGTGCATTGGGTATCGCATTTGCATGATAACAGGCTGCGTGTGTCATTATCTGTTGCTTCGATTCGCCACCGGTGCATAATTTTCGGGAAAGCATTCCGAACCGTCCGTTTACGTCGAACACGTTTCGCTTAAACAGCTCGCGTTACAATAATACATATATAAGATATATTATTTGCAATCGCGCGTGCCTTAATGGCGTTTGCTTGTTCTGCAACGATCGCGGCGCAACGCGCGAATTTTGGGCGAAGGCATTTACAGGATAAATGCGATTCGTTAGAATTAACAGACGAATCTGTACTTAATTTCTGTTTGCTGGGAAATTTTCTCTGTATTTTCTGTATAGAGTGTTTCTTCCTATTTACAGTTTATTTATAAAATATATATATATATATATATATATATATTTTTTTTCGTAGTAGTAATGGCTTTTCTTCTTTTTTTTTAAGGAACATTATTCGAATGACTATTTCGCGCTTCCACAAAATTAATTACTACTGGCAATAAATTCTGTGACAAACATTTTATGTCAATGAATTTAATCTTTGTATTATTGTTTCGGTAAATATATTATCCCGCTAGAGATGCAGAAATATTCATTCTTGTACAGTTTTAACTTCTAAATAAATTTTATATAAAATTGTTTTTATACGCTGCAACACAGTTCTAGATTTCGAAATTTGTTTAATTCTTTCTTGCTTCAAGCAAGATACCACAGTAACAATAAAAGAAAGAAACGTCGAAAATTCTGAATTTCAAAGATATGATTAAATATCGTATAATTTAATATTCGACACATTTCTAACGTGTTGTAATTAAGAAGTACGTTTAATATCTGTTTCAGAACTGGAACTGGTGAAATTACCCGAAGACACAACCCTGGCAGGATTTACGCCGCTGATGTCGAATCCCCAGGATCCTATTTACGCGGAGAAGACCGAGGACATGGTATAAATATTTTACTTTCCTGCCCATCGTCTCGAAATCAATCGCTCGCCCATAACAGACCGGTTTTAATCGACCTCGTAAAACTTCCACGTGTAATTGTTAATGTTTGTTCCATGTTTAGCCAATAGTGAACTAATTTATCCTACTGATTAAAATCTCCAGTATAAATACATATATATATATATGTATTTATACTGGAGAATATTATACTGTAATTTGTAATATATATATTTATATATTACAAATTTAGAAATCTAGAACTGCGTTCCAGCGTATAAAAACAACTTTATATATATATATATATATATATATATATATATATATATATATATATATATATATATATATATATATATATATATATATATATATATATATATATATATATATATATATATATATATATATATATATATATATATATATATATATATATATATATATATATATATATATATATATATATATATATATATATATATATATATATATATATATATATATATATATATATATATATATATATATATATATATATATATATATATATATATATATATATATATATATATATATATATATATATATATATATATATATATATATATATATATATATATATATATATATATATATATATATATATATATATATATATATATATATATATATATATATATATATATATATATATATATATATATATATATATATATATATATATATATATATATATATATATATATATATATATATATATATATATATATATATATATATATATATATATATATATATATATATATATATATATATATATATATATATATATATATATATATATATATATATATATATATATATATATATATATATATATATATATATATATATATATATATATATATATATATATATATATATATATATATATATATATATATATATATATATATATATATATATATATATATATATATATATATATATATATATATATATATATATATATATATGTATTTATACTGGAGATTTTAATCAGTAGGATAAATTAGTTTACTTTATATATATATATAAAGTTGTTTTTATACGCTGGAACGCAGTTCTAGATTTCTAAATTTGTAATATATAAATATATATATTACAAATTTAGAAATATATATATATATTGAAAGTGTCGGGAGATTTTAGCGATGTCGTAGAAACATCGTGTTTCTATTTAACGCGTTTATTTGTTTCAGGAAATAGCACAGGTGTGCCTCAGGATAAACATGATATTGTTCTTCGGGCAAGTGTATCTCTGCGGCTTGGAGACGCCGGTGTTGAAGTTGCAGAAGAGCGAGAACGGCGACAGTGAATACGTCTCTGTGGTCGAAGCTTCGAGCACGAGCATCCCGAGTTCACCGCCGGAACAGGTAAATCGTGTTAATTAACTCCGATTCGTACAAATAAATAAGTATTTTCAAGTATTAAGCCGCGTCGAGGATTTTTCATAATTTCTGTCTGTCCGGAGATTTCGAATATTTTTATCGCTGTTTATTCTCGGCGATATCTGAACTAATTGTCTAATTAACTAATTATCAATTATTATCAAAGCGAGACTCTGTTCGTGCAATTTTAGACCTTTCCGGATCAAATTCTTTTTCGATCAATGATCTCGGCAGAAAGAAAGTCAAATATTGTTCAGATATCGACGAATTTTCATGTGTCGATAAAAATTCATAATTTACTCATTTATTAAATTACCGAAATTATGGGAACCGCCTCCGAAAATATATATAATTATTAGTCCTGCTATATAATTATTAGTTCTGCTATATAATTATTAGTCCTGCAAATTGCGGAAAAAATTGCGCCAATAGCCGCGTTTTTCATCGATGTCGAATTTAAATCAATGTCAACAGTAAACTTTAATTAGCTTCGAGTCAGTATGTAATTGCTGCGCGTAAATCGTAGCCCGGCAAACAAAAAGAAGGAAAAAAAGAAACACCGAACTCGTTAACGCGGCGATTATTTTCCATTTATCCTCTGATAATAGTGTTTGCTATAGAAGTTAAATTAAAGTCGATTTTCGTCCGGCCACCGAAGTGGGACACGCGCATCCATCCGACCATCCGGTCACGAAATGGCTTAATTAGGTTTCAAAATCGAAGCAGGCGTGTGCTCGCAGCGAAAGGAGTCGCGTTACGAAATTCTGTTACGAAGTCTCGATGACTTTTCGGAACGGCGGCTGGGTAATTGGTTCAAACGAAGCGCTAACTCACTTTGCAGAGCGACTCGGAGCTTCTGGTAGAAAGTTACAGCGAGGACGAGGACGAGCCGGTATCATCCACCCTGAGGAGATTACCCTCGTGTTCGGATGTGCCCGATGATAACGCCACGCCGGGTGCCACGGTCGAGATTAGGTCGTTGATTGAGAAGAAAGAGGAGCTCGAGAGACGACAGCGAAAGCAGGATCGTCATCGGCAACGGGTGCAGGTGAGTACCAATCCTAATCCACGATCAAACTGATCCAACGATCGTAATTGAAACTTTGTAATTCTTCAAGTGTCTTCGCTGCTATTTATTTCATAATTTATTTGAGCCGTTTATTTTGAAAGTGGCATAAGTCACTTTGTTTTTAAGTCGATATATTTAAGGGTTTGCGTTTTAACACGTTTAAAAATATGGATGCTAACTTTCGAGAAGATTTACTTGTATTTGTTATCTCAGGATACTGATATTTTTCTCGGTATAAATAATTTCGTATAAACATTAAAAAATCACCACTTTTCATTACGGTAAAGTGACTTATGCCACTTTTAAAATAAACGGCTCATTTCATTGTCATAAGCGCATAAAATCCGCGGTCTACCAATAACGAGCAAAATATTATTTCTAAATTGCTCTAAACCCCTGTACAAGAAGAATTTTTTTTTATCACTTATTTTAGGCTTTATCAAATATTTTAGGAGAACAGAAATTCGTAAAAAAATTTCATTTCCATGAAGAATTTAATTTTCACGAATTGTAGAATAATAGAGAAATGTACAGGAAGAATTTTATCACTTATTTTAGGCTTTATCAAATATTTTAGGAGAACAGAAATTCGTAAAAAAATTTCATTTCCATGAAGAATTTAATTTTCACGAATTGTAGAATAATAGAGAAATGTACAGGAAGAATTTTATCACTTATTTTAGGCTTTATCAAATATTTTAGGAGAACAGAAATTCGTAAAAAAATTTCATTTCCATGAACAATTTAATTTTCACGAATTGTAGAATAATAGAGAAATGTACAAGAAGAATTTTATCACTTATTTTAGGCTTTATCAAATATTTTAGAACAGAAATTCGTAAAAAAATTTCATTTCCATGATCAATTTAATATCCACGAATTGTAAAATAACAGAAAAATGTCTTGCGTACTAAAAATAAAATAAAAATATGTTATTAATTTGTTCCAACGCATACATTTCCGATCGTCGTTCTCGCAGTTCGATTTCCTATTTAACAAGTAACTATGAATTACCGCCGCGCTCACACGGTGTCGCGAAAGCAACGTCTAATTTCCAGCGACGCCGCTCGGAAATTTTATTCGACCGCAAAAGGATTACCTGCATCCTGCGTTCCGAAAGTTCTCTCGTTTCCCTGTCACGGCCCGTTCGCAAGGGAGTCGCAGCCGGCCGACCGTAAAACAGAATCGACACTTCCGAATTTAACCCGGCTCGGCTCGAATTTTCTATAAATAGAGACGTCAGTCCGATATCGCGGCTCGATGGTTCCCTACCCAAGATATCCTGGCGACCTGGCGTTTCCCCGGCCGTCCCCCTTTATCTTCGTCGTTCCTCCGGGCTGCACCTAAAGGGCCGACAAAATGGTCGCCGAACCAAAAAGAAACGGCGGAGAAGAGAAAAAAAGCGAGAAAGAAAGAAAGAAAGAGAGAGAGAGAGAGAGAGACGCTCGTACCGCTAAGTCGAACTAAATCAAGAGATTACCGGGACACGTCGGTGCATACTGTTGCATCTTTCACCCCCGTTTTAGAGCCCTTTCGCGACGCTGCTCTCTCGTCCCGCGGTCTTTTCTCTCCTCCCTCCCACTCCCCTTTTTTCTGTGTCTCGTCGTCCTTTTATTTTCGCGGGCCTCTTCTTCGGCACGCAAACCCGCTGTTTTTATTTACGGCATCGGCGGTCCTCCTTTTTGCATATTTATTATCGAACCCCCGTCCGGGGCCGGATTTCGCGCGTACTATGGGGCCCACCGGCCCTCCATCTTCACGCCTCCCACTCGCACAAGGAAATTTTTCTTTCGAACGAGCAGCGCGAGGGTGAGTAAAATTGCCGCCACGGTCCCTTCTTCTTCTTCTTTATGGAGGACGCTTTGCAGTGCGATCTGTTTGATGAATGCTGGTCGAGGCTTTCTGATAGACGTGTTCGTGTTGCCTCTGTATTATTTTCAATAATATTTTAATTAATAGATTCTTCGCAATTCAAACGAAATTGTATTTTAAATAGGACATAAAGAGTTTCGGTAAATAGAATATTTTATTTTGATAATTCATATAAAATATTTCATTTTGATAACGTAAAACGTAAAATACAATATATTATTTTGGTAATTTAAAGCTGAAGCATGAAATAAATATTTTATATTGACAATGTGAAACGTAAAATAAAGTAATTTTTATTATAATAACGTAAAGCGTTATAGAGTACTATAAAAAAATAGAGTAAAATAGAGTACTTCCCATAGTTCTTAACCTGAACAAATCATAATAATTGCAAATAAAATTTATTCTCTTCAGAAGTATTCATTAAATTCATTGAATCGATTTAGATTACCAAAATATATTATTAACATATATTAATATATTATGAAATATAATTATATTTCACAATATATTACCGTCGTTCATAACGGTTATTGTTAACCAAAAGCTATTTCCGTCATTTATAACAATCATTTGTGATCGCAACACATAAAACTTCATTTTCTCCAATCATCGCATTTTTCGAAATTCCCCTTAAAATTCATCTTCCACCGCCCTCTACGCGAATGAAAGTCACTTCCCCATCGATGTGATTTTTCCTACTAAATTTTTCACACAGAAATTCGTAAAAAAATTTCATTTCCATGAACAATTTAATATCCACGAATTGTAGAATAACAGAAAAATGTCTTGCGTACTAAAAATAAAATAAAAATATGTTATTAATTTGTTCCAACGCATACATTTCCGATCGTCGTTCTCGCAGTTCGATTTCCTATTTAACAAGTAACTATGAATTGATCTTCAACACGTGATCTTCGGTCTCCGGTAATCTTCACAGTCCCAAGACCGCGAAACAAAAACGAACGGTGCGAGCTCGGTTCGCCAGGGTTCAACCGAAATCCCCTGCCTCATTCTTCTCGTGATCGTCTTAAGACTCGCTGGTACCCCTTCTTCGTCGGTATCGCTCGGATAATCCTCTCGTTCCACTTAGTTTTCGTTCCCTGCGAAAGGGGAGACGGAATAAATTCGCCGTGTATCTGCTGAATTTTTGGCGAGACGACGACGGCTTTATCAGAGGGGCGAGCGAAGGTCTCGCCGGGTTTTTCGGGAAGGCGGCGGGCGAAGGGCGACGCGAGGGGGTTTAGGGAGAAGGAGAGACACGGAATATCATCCCGAGTATAAAGTTACCCCAGCGGACGTGGCGCGATAGAGGGTCGGCTGACAAGTGTGCTGTGTTCCGGCGCCGAAATAAAGGATACTTTTGATATCCTGTCGCTACATGGCCCGGTAGTCCGTGTTCGATCGGCTCGGACCGCCATTGTATCGCTGCTCGTTCTTCTTTTCTGTAGCCCCGAGCCCCCTCTACCCTCCCCCCTTTCTTTTCGTGGATGTTCCTCGCTTTTTACGAGGCTCGATAAGCCGACGTCCACCTTGTACCGCGATATCGGTAATAGTCGCTCGAGGGATATGCACGGACGAGATTCTCTTCTAACGATCGGAGTAACTTAACACCGGCAGGGATGGGGTTGTACAGGGGTTTGCCGGTCCTCCGCGTCGACGCCGTGCTTGATGTCGTGTCAAATTTCGAGTTGCAGTGCTGCATCGTGCTGCTTCGATCACTTTTTCCTTCGCGTTGCTTCGGCGCGCTTTGACAGTATGTTGTGACTGTTCTACGATGTTTTGTAGGACAGTGTTCGTTACGTTGCGTCGGTTGATCGATTTTGTAAATAATATTAATATACAGTTGCGGTTTTTAACATCTGTGCACGTTATTTAGCGAGTTATTATGAGACGACGTTTCTGAGCGCTATTTTTCAGACATTAGTAGTGGAGTATTTGTTGAATCAAGATCATTTGATGAATATTCTTATTTGTTGTTTATTGCTTTACTGATCCTTTTGGTTAAATTCGATACAGTCGAGTCAGTTGATTTATCTTATTGATAATTCGATTATTCGAGGAGCAAGGATTATTATTTTCTTTTAACTACTTCGGAATGGATTGTTTCGTGTCCCGGCACTTTCGTTGTTTAACAATTACAACACACGCATAAAATGCATTGAACAATGTTCTACAATGCAAAAAAACATATAAAATATCTTAAAGAATGTTCTATAAAAACACGCGCATAAAATGCCTTGAACAATGTTCCTGTAATACGAAAAAAATCACACAAAATACCTTAAAGAATGTTCTGTAGAAACACACATCAAAAATGCCTTGAACAATATTTCTGCAATACAAAAAAAAACACAAAATACCATAAAGAATGTTCTGTAGAAACACACATAAAAAATGCTTTGAACAATGTTCCTGCAATATAAAAAAAAACACACAAAATACCTTAAAGAATGTTCTGTAGAAACACACATAAAAAATGCTTTGAACAATGTTCCTGCAATACAAAAAAAAACACAAAATACCTTAAAGAATGTTCTGTAGAAACACACATAAAAAATGCTTTGAACAATGTTCCTGCAATACAAAAAAAAACACAAAATACCTTAAAGAATGTTCTGTAGAAACACACATAAAAAATGCCTTGAACAATGTTCCTGCAATACAAAAAAAACCACACAAAATACCATAAAGAATGTACTGTAGAAACGCACATAAAAAGTGCCTTGAACAATGTTTCCGCGATAGAAAAACACGCATGAAATACTTTATAAACGATCGAAACACTTCAGAATACAATTGAACAGACGAAAGAACGCAGATCGAAACAAGCAGCGTTATCTGAAAACGAAGATCACGTGACTACACAGCAACGTCCGTTGTCCACCAGCATTACAGGACTCGTTTTACCGTGACCGTCACCTAGATCTCCGCTTAAATCCAAGCCCCGCGCCGAAACGATCGATAAATCACCGCGATTCTAGTTCAAGTTCGCGGCAGCGCGTCCGTTATCCGGCCGAAAACGGCCGCGAAAACACGGCGGATTGTAACTGTACCGAAAAATTAATGACGCTCGCATGAACAATTAACCCGTCCTGCTTCGTCCC